CTGGTACCCCTGGAGGTTTCAATGACGTTGATGTTGACTCCTAGTTCTCAGTTCCTTCTGTTCAAAAGATGCAGCACGGTCAGATTTTTTTTAAAGGGACTGAATATACCAAAGGATGCTTTGGTATAGCCCATAATACTGTTCTAGATTTAGAAGGGAGGTTCTCCTCCCTAAACCCTAGAAATTAATAAAGAGTGGGATTTTGAGTATTTGGGGTGTGAAGGGAGGAATACCAGCTGCGGGGGAATTCCTGGGCTAGCCTATGGAAAATGACCTGGTCAAGCTAGGGCCATTAAGAAACAATGCACCCGGGGTTGTTGTTGTTGTTGTTGTTGTTTAGTCGTTTAGTTGTGTCTGCCTCTTGGTGGCCCTCTGGACCAGAGCACGCCAGGCACTCCTGTCTTCCACTGCCTCCCGCAGTTTGGTCAAACTCATGCTGGTAGCTTTGACAACACTGTCCAACCATCTCGTCCTCTGTCGTCCCCTTCTCCTTCTGCCCTTCATCTTTCCCAACATCAGGGTCTTTTCCAGGGAGTCTTCTCTTCTCATGAGGTGGCCAAAGTCTTGGAGCCTCAGCTTCAGGATCTGGCAAAGGGGCTTGAATAACTCAAAGAAGCTATGAACTATGCCGAGCAGGGCACCCAAGATGGACAGGTCATAGTGGAGAGTTTTGACCTAACGTGATCCACCTGGAGCAGGAACTGGCAAACCACTCCAGTATCCCTGCCAAGAAAACTCCATGGACAAAGACAACACCCAGGATATAGACCCCAAATGACAAAAATGGACTGTGCATCAGTTACAAAGGCTCTAACCCTGTCTCTTTCTTTCTCTCTTTTAAATGCTTTTAAAATTATTTATTTAATCAACAATATGTACTTCAGTGACATACAAGAGTAAAGAAATAAAGAAAAAAATAATACAGTTGAATGAAAATTAACACACACACATTTGGGTCGTTTCATTCACAACCGCTAGAAAAAAACAATTACCATTATCGGTGTTAAGGGTCAGCAACAATTTTTTTAAAGATTTGTCTTGTTTATAGATTGTGTATCCAGATATTGTCCTGGAGGCCTTATGATATTCTGACAAAGCTGAGAAGTTATGAAAAATTGAAAATTGTGGCATATTTCACAGGAGGCATTGGGACACTGCTGTCATCATAAATATGTAATATGTTTTTTGCCATGTAGTTGAAAATGAGTCTTTTCTAAATTGGCCCTCTAATATAGTTTTTCAGCAGTAGCTATGGACTCGATTTGACAATACCGGCGTCTCTTTGGACTGATTTGTAAGATCCAGCCTGGCCTGGTTTCTACTGCCAGCCTGCCCACTGGCATCGCATTTGCCAAGGACAGATGCATATAAACAGGACCGGCTCAAGATATTTTGCTGCCTAAGGCAGACAAGATGGCGCTTCCCGCTCCGTGCACAAATGCCAGCCAGATTGGCAGTTGCATCTTCTTCCAGCACTGGCATCTTCCTCTCTACTTGCGTACCCTGCAACATTCCTCAGATGAAAATTGGGACATTTCTCGCTCCCTTCCAACTGACCCTCCTCAACCCGCTCCATTTTTTTTGTTTCCCTCCATTTCCTATCAGGAGAAGGGCGAGTCCCACCTTACCAACGGGACATAGCACAATCGCCCTCCACCGTCTTGAGAAAACCTCTTAATTCCAATTCCAATTTATTTTGTTGTAGAGTTGCAAAAAGAGACACGCACACCAATAAATAAATTTTAGAAAGGGGCAAAATTAGATGTGGACGCACAAAGCATTTAAAAAAACCAGTACAGTAATCCTTGTGCTCTACTCCCCTCACTATTTCTTCCTGCCCTCTGCCTGCTCCTCAGAGGTGGCGCATCATGCGGGGCTGGGCCTCAACAGCCACAGCTTCTCCTCTTCCTCTTTGCCCGCTCTCCACCAGTAGCCATGAGCTGCCCAAGGGAGGAGTTTGGCAGCAGCAGCCATGGGCAGGCAATGCGATGTTCCCTTGCAGCTGCCGCCGCCACCGCCATCGCCCAGGACAAGCACCAGCTGATCCTCCTCCCCGGACCCAGCACTGGTGGGGAAAACAGGGACATTCTGGGATCAAATCAGAAGCCAGGATGGCTTCAATAATTTCAGGACTGTCCCTGGAAAATCAGGACACTTGGAGGGTGTGTACTTGAGGGGCAGCAGACTAATTTAGGGGGTGAGGGAAGGGCTTGTAGCACAAACTGCCCTGTCTTCCAACATCTTGCCACTGCTCTCCAAGAGCTGCCACCTGAGGCGGCTACCTCACTCTGTCCAATAGTAGTGCCGGCCCTGCATATAAGAACAAATCCAAACAGTTAATATGGATGCTCTGCCTGCCTGAAGGACCTAAATACAGTCATACCTCTAGCTGCGTTAGGTTTATGTTGCGGATTTTGGGGCTGCATAGGCGGCAAACTTGGAAGTGTATACTTCAGGGTTTCGCCACGCGCGCACATGCAGAAGCGTTCTGCGCGCTTCGCACATTACGCCACGCGCATGTGCAGAAGCAGCACTCTACTTATGGATTTTTTGGGGTGCGAACGGCACCCCGGAATGGATCACGTCCATAAGTAGAGATACCACTGTACCACAATATAGATTGAAGAGGCTTCTCTTGTCAAAATCCCAACAACCACATTCGGGGGAACTTGCCAGTTCCTACAATGTACTGGCAGTGGTTTTATGAATCTTCAGAGGCTCCTGGTTCAGACATTCCCACCAGGAACATGACCAAAACTCTCCCTGCTGATGGCAAACCGATGGGACTCGACTCATAGCAAAAGCATTCTGGTATGATGAGGGTCTCCCTTCTTCTCCAGATGCCATGATCTAAGGAGATGCTGTGAAAAGCCTAGGCACTACAGGGCTTGGCACATGGAAACAAATTTTGTTTTAAAAAAGAGGCAAAGGATAATTTTGTATTCAGCGCAGGCATTGCATGGTGCATGATAAATAAGGCCTGAGGCCAGGTATACAATGACGAGCGGAAGAAAGAATATCGAGGAGCCAACCATTCATTCAGCTCTCTTCATCTCGAGCTCTAAATGAGAGAAGGTTCTTTGGAGAAAGGGAACGTGGTAAAATAATTAAAGTGCCTCCTAAGTGCCAAAGAGGGCAGGAGGAAAGTTGAAAAAGCCGCTTCAATTGTTGCCGTTTCTAACACTCGAGTGTTTAACTTTACCGCCTTCATATCCTTTAAGCACGGCGGTGTTTCCATTCCCCCTCCGATGCAATTTATAATGAGATTGATTTCTATAGCTAGCTTGTTGTCTGAATTATTCACCACGTCCATATTCGCTGTGTTTTATTGTGTTTCATTTACATGCAGCTGTGCTTAGCATCTTTAACACTGCGCTTGTTCCCCAACGCATGCCGAGGCCTTATAAGGACCGTGCAATTTCTCGCCGTTGGAAATTGCCGGCAGAGAACACAAGGCCCTCATCAGCCTCTTCCCAGGATATTCAGCAGCGCAACGCTAATGGTACAAATACCCAAAGGGGTGGATGCTCAAACTTAACACTGGAATGATGTCATTGGTACCACGGCATCATCAATGTCCATGTTTACTGCATCTTACAGATTTGTTTTAAAAACTGGCAAGTAGGGCTTGGCTTCTAACCACGACTCGTAATCCTTAATCTCCTTCTTCTGCTATGTCCCTTCCACCTTTGCCAGGTGCACAGAACATCTTCCTGTTATCTCCCGCTTGGACTACTGCAATGCGCTCTACATGGGGCTACCTTTGAAGGTGACCCGGAAACTACAACTAATCCAGAATGCGGCAGCTAGACTGGTGACTGGGGGAGGCCGCCGAGACCACATAACACTGGTCTTGAAAGACCTACATTGGCTCCCAGTACGTTTCCGAGCACAATTCAAAGTGTTTGTGCTGACCTTTAAAGCCCTAAACGGCCTCGGCCCAGTATACCTGAAGGAGCGTCTCCACCCCCATCGTTCTGCCTGGACGCTGAGGTCCAGCGCTGAGGGCCTTCTGGTGGTTCCCTCATTGCGAGAAGCAAAGCTACAGGGAACCAGGCAGAGGGCCTTCTCGGTAGTGGCACCCTCCCTGTGGAACGCCCTCCCATCAGATGTCAAAGTGATAAACAACTACCTGACATTCAGAAGACATCTTAAGGGAAGTTTTTAATGTGTGACATTTTAGTGTATTTTTGGTCTCTGTGGAAGCCGCCCAGAGTGGCTAGGGAAACCCAGCCACACGGGCGGGGTACAAATAATAAATTATTATTAATTATTATTATTATTATTATTCCTGCAATCTCTTGCCATTGGTCCTCCTACCTGCTTTCTTCATGGGCTGTTCAAAAGTAGTTGAGCCTTACCAACACTGGTCTCAATGGCTTTTTGCTTTCCTTTTGAAGACCCTGTTCAGCTGTTTCTCTCCATGCAAGTTGAACTTTGTGGAGGGACTGGGGGTGGGGGCAGAATTGCACCCGGTAGTCCTGTTTCACTGTCACATGCCCAGCCAGCTTTGGCCCACACCCTGCCCATACTTGGGGGGAAGGTTTGGAGGCAGGCGCAGGGTGGGGGGAGGAGTCTGCTGAACCCAGGGCTGGAGCTCATGGGGACAGCCTGTACATCTTCAGCAAGCTTCCTTCTCAGAGCTTCTCTTACTGCATGGAGAGTGTGATCAAGGGCAGAGATGACAAGAGACAGGGCTACTGCGTGAGAACATGTTATCTCGCCTGGCACTGCCAACATGGTGAGAAAAGGTTAGATCCAACCACAGGCATACCTAGGCTCCCTTGTGTCCTTGGTAAGGAGATGTAGGGGTGGCTCTGAAGCTGGCAGAGACCATGGACCAAAACTCAAAAAGTTTGCTTTTCGTTGCCTTTCACGCTCCGCCAGTGACTTCCCCTGTGGCCGTCAGGATCTGATCTACTCCAACTCCCCTCCTCCTCCTCCTCCATCCGTCCGTCTTCAATTTTTAAGCACTCCTCCCTGATTCATTTTTTTTTTTTAAAGCAATTTATTGGGTTTTACAGTAAGAATAAACATAGTAAACAATATAACATTTGTCTTAACATAGTTTCACATTTTCTTTGGACTTCCTCACATCTCCCGCTCCCACTTTCATCGTTATAACATTTTGTCAGCAATTTATCATCTTATTTAAATTCTTATATCTCTTCAATATTTCATAATCTTATGGTTCTCATAGAGAGTTAAACTTTCACAGTCTTACTTATTTTCTTAAAAACTTCTAAGTTAAGTGGTGCTCAGTTATTTAGTCTAGCATCTTATTTAGCATTCACTCAAATCACAATATTTTTGTAGATAGTTCTTAAATTTCTTCCAATCCTCCTCGATTCTCTCTTCTCCCAGGTCACGAATTCTGCCGGTCATTTCAGCCAGTTCCATGTAGTCTATCAGTTGCATCTGCCATTCTTCCAGTGTGGGTAAATCTTGAGTTTTCCAATGTTTTGCAAGAAGTATCCTTGCTGCTGTTGTTGCATACATAAAAATGTCTGGTCCTTCTTTGCCACCCCTTGGCTGACAATACCCAAAAGGAAAGCCTCTGGTTTCTTGGTGAAGGTATATTTAAATACCTTTTTCAATTCATTATAAATCATTTCCCAGAACGCCTTCACTTTAGGGCAGGTCCACCAGAGGTGGAAGAACGTTCCCTCACACTCTTTACATTTCCAACACTTATTATCAGACAGGTGGTAAATTTTTGCAAGTTTAACTGGGGTCATATACCATCTATAAATCATTTTCATTACATTTTCTTTCAGAGCGTTACATGCAGTAAATTTCAATCCATTACTCCACAACCTTTCCCAGTCCTCAAACATAATATTATACCCAATGTCCTGTGCCCACCTTATCATAGCCGATTTAACCATTTCATCTTGTGTATTCCATTCCAACAGCAAGTTATACATCCTTGAAAGTACCTTAATCTTTGGTTCTAACAATTCTGTTTCTAATTTCGATTTCTCCACCTGGAACCCTAGTTTCTTATCATTTTTAAAAACTTCTTTAATCTGAGCGTAATGTAACCAATCTCGCACTTTGTCTTTCATTTTCTCCAAACTCTGCAATTTCCAATTGTCTCCATCCTTTTCTAGTATTTCCCAATATTTTGGCCATTTAGCCTCCATATTGGGTCTTTTTCGGGCCTTAGCTTCCAAAGGTGAAAGCCACCTTGGTGTTTTATTTTCCAGCAAGTCTTTATATTTTGTCCAGACATTAAACAATGATTTTCTGACAATATGGTTCTTGAAGGCCTTATTTGCTTTAACTTTGTCATACCATAAATATGCATGCCATCCAAAAACATTATTAAACCCTTCCAAATCCAACACATCAGTGTCTTCAAGAAGTAGCCAGTCTTTTAGCCAGCAGAACGCTGCGGCTTCATAATACAACTTTAAGTCCGGCAGGGCAAAGCCCCTCTTTGTTTTGCATCAGTTAATATCTTAAACTTGATTCTGGGCTTTTGCCCTGCCAGACAAACTTCGAAATATCTCTCTGCCACTTCTGAAAGCACTCCGTTTTGTCCAAAACCTGAAGTGTTTGAAATAAAAACAACATCCTTGGCAATACATTCATCTTAATAGCAGCAATTCGGCCTAACAAAGAAAGTTTCAATTTTGACCAACTGTCTAAGTCTCTCTTAATTTCTGTCCAACATTTTTCATAGTTATCCTTAAATAGACTTAGGTTTTTGCTGTTATGTTTACCCCTAGGTATTTTACTTTTTAACCACATTAAGTTCCGTCTCATTCTGAAACCGTTCTGACTCTGTATCAGTCAAATTTTTCCCCAAAACCTTAGTTTTCTGTTTATTTAATTTAAATCCCGCCACCCGACCAAAGTCATTAATCAATTGTAATACTCTTTTCGTACTGGGCTCTGGCTTCTGCAGGGTCAAAACCAGGTCATCTGCAAAAGCTTTTAGTTTATATTGTTTCTGACCAACCTGAATTCCTTCCACCAACCGATCCCCTCTAATCATGTTCAGTAGCACTTCCAGAACCGAAATAAATAACAAAGGGGAGATAGGGCAACCTTGTCGTGTCCCTTTTTCAATTTTGAACTCTTCTGTGACCACATTATTAACTATCAGTTTAGCTTTCTGTTCTGAATATATCGCCTCAATCCCATTCTCAAAACCCCGTCCCACTCCCATCTCTTTTAAATTTCCCATCATAAATTTCCAGGAAATATTGTCAAAGGCCTTCTCCGCATCTATGAAAATTAAAACTGCTTTTGTATTTATATCTGTTTGCAGAAGTTCCAAGATGTCAATAATGTTCCTTGTGTTAGCAAACAGATGTCTACCTGGGAGAAAACCGGCCTGGTCCTTATGAATTACTTCATTTAAAACTTTTTTGAATCTACTTGCCAAAATATCTGCAAATATTTTGTAATCCACATTTAAAAGAGAGATGGGACGGTAGTTCTTCAGTTGTGTCTTTTCAGCTTCTGACTTTGGTATTAATGTGATGAACGCTTCCTTCCACGAATCCGGTGCCCTCTTCCCCTCCATAATTTCATTGCTGACCTCCATCAAGGGTTGTATCAAATAGTCTTTTAATGTCTTATAATACTTGGAGGTCAGCCCATCTGGCCCTGGAGATTTGCCAAGTTGCATGTTCTGAATAGCTTGTTCAATCTCCTGTCGTGTTATTTTAGAGTTCAGGATTGTCCTGTTTTCTTGTGACAATTTAGATAATCCATTTTTGGCAAAAATTGTTTAATCTCAACTTCGTCTTGCGGCCCTTGGGTGTATAATTTTTAAAATATCTCTGGAAACACTTTCTAATATCCACTGGATTCTGAATGTTTTTCCATCAACCTCTAAGTTTGTAACCGTGTTTAATCTTTGTCTTCTCTTCAACTGCCAAGCTAGCAGTTTTCCACATTTATTCGCCGACTCAAACGTTTTTGTTTCATTAATTTAACCTTCCATTCAATTTCCTGATTTATCAATTTAGAATATTGTGTTTGATAAAGTTTAATTTCTCTCAGAGTTGGCTGTGACTTTGGATTCACTCTTAATTTCTTCTCTAATTCTTTTATTTTATCCAAGATCTTATCTTTTTCTCATTTTGTGTTTTTTCCTTACTACATTCTGTTGTATCAAGAATCCCCTCATTACAGCTTTGCTTGCGTCCCAGACGATTCTTTTTTCCACCGAATTATTCATATTTATCTCAAAATAGTCCTTCAAAACTTTTTGGGCCTTCTTGGTAATTTCCTGATCTCTAAACAAATTGTCATTCATCTTCCATCTAAAGGATCCAGTTGGTAGTAGTGTCATATCCATCTTTACTGCATTGTGGTCAGAACAGGTCTTTGGGCAGATTTCCACTTTTCTGACCCTAGGTGCCAGGCCTCTAGAAATCCATATTTGGTCGATTCTTGTCCAGGTCAGTTGGGCTTCAGAAAAGAATGTTCCTTCTCTACCTAGTGGGTTCTTTGTCCTCCAAATGTCGATCAAATCCATATTGTCAGTCATTTCAAAAAGGTTTTAGGTAGTCTGCCGTCTTTTGTAACATTTTGACTTTGTGACTTGTCCATGTTGGTTGATACGACCCCGTTCATATCTCCCATCGTTATGATGTTGTTGTAATCCAGATAGTCCAGCATTGTCCCCTGCAACTTCTTGTAAAATTCCGATTTCCCTTCATTAGGTGCATAGATTCCTAGTATCAACAGTTTCTCTCCTTGATATTGTATCTCAATAGCCAAAATTCTTCCATGTTCATCTTTAAATAGGAATTTAGGTGACAGGCTCTCTTTGCATATATCACCACGCCTCTCTTCTTCACTTTATCCGACGAAACAAATTCCTGGCCTAATCTTTTATTTATTAACACTTTTCTGTGGAGCCTCGTCACATGTGTTTCTTGTAAACAGATAATGTCCAATTGTTCTTTTTTTATTATATGAAATATTTTCTTCCTTTTTTCCGGAATGTTACAACCATTAATGTTCCAACTCAACAATTGCAGAGACATCCTGGATCTATCTGGTTATTTCTCCCGGGGTGGTATCTTCTCTGGATCTTCAAGTTCCCCAGGTGCTGGTGTTAATGCTGGCTTTGCCCCAGGCCCAGAAGGTAATTCAATTCCTTTTTGTAGGTCCTCTCCGTATGTAGCCAAAAATTTGTCTCTGTGCTGGACCCGGGGGTAAGGTACCTTGGGTGTCGCAGAGTCCACACGAAGAGGGGCAAGGTCCGAGGCAGAGAGCCGGGCGGGGAACAGGAATGCTGGAACAGGAGGCTGTGCAGGGAACAGGAACACCGGATGGTCGGGAACAGGAGGCCGAGCAGGGAACAGGAGTACCGGATAGTCAGGAACAGGAAGCCGAGCAGGGATCAGGAACACAGGAAGGTCCGAAGCCAGCAGCGACGTTGCTCCCGCAGCCTGGGGCCGGGCTGACTGGGCTTTATCCTCGTCTAAGGCCAGGGGCGGTCCCGGTCCCCAGGAGCCCCGCCTCCTCTGGCCTTAAGGCGAGCACTCCTCCTGGGGGCACCCAGTTCCCTTCGCCTCTCTGCCCTAAGCCTCTGCAGATCAGGAGAGGCCGAAGGGTTACTGGGCCCTGGAGGAGGCTCACCTGTGGCCACTGAGTCATCAAGCCCCTCTGGGGCCCGAAGAGCTTCACCTGGGGCCAGCTCCTGATGCACTGCCACAGGTGCAGGCTCTTCAGCATCAAGGCCTTGCCCCAGTTCAGCCGGCCCTGGAGGCGGGGACTCCTGTGCAGGCCGGGATTCCTCTGTTTCATCCTCCGAATCGGAATCCCAGGCCATCACACCATCCCCCTCCCAGGCCCCCCTCAGCCGAGGGTCCGGACCCGGCTTGCCGGGATACGTCGCATGGAACTCTCGGAGGCAGGCAGGTGCATGGACATTGGCCGCTGGTTCCCAGGAACGGTCCTCCGGTCCGTACCCCTTCCAGTCAATGAGATACTGCAGCTTTCCCCTGCGGTATCGGGAGTCCAGGATGCGTTCCACCTCGTACTCAGGCTCTCCCCGAACCACCACTGGCTGCGGTCGGGGACGGTTCTGGTGGAACTCGTCGGGTGGGGCCCCCGGACTCAACCGGGACCGGTGGAAGACCGGGGGAACCGTCAGGGTTGCGGGTAACCGGAGACGGCATGCCACAGGAGAGATTTGGTCGACGATAGGGAGCGGGCCGGTGGGCGGGCGTCCAGCTTCCGCGAAGGTCGAGAGGGGTGGAGGTGGCGAGTGGAGAGCCAAGCCAGGTCACCGGCGCGAGTTCCGGCCCCACCTGGCGGTGGCGGTCGGCCTGGGCTTTGTACGCTTCCTTGGCCTGGTGCAGTTGCTCCACCAAAAGCTGTTGCTGG